CTGGCTAAAGTGAAAGGAATTCCAGTCAGCCATAAGTCAGACGTCCCACTCTACTCGCCATCAATGACAAATCAGACGTCTCCGATCGCGAATTCCAAGTCAAAACATTCTATTTTTTCTCTTTAATATCTGAAACAAATATTTCTCTCTTCTTTTCCTACTTTTTTTTATTCGATATTTAACACATGTATTCCCCTTCGGTTATACCAGAAACCCTCGAAAGATCGGTTAACTTCCTGACTCGAGTTCACACGGTTGGTTAGTCATCGAATCTTTGGCAGACGGTCGTAGCAGGTCAGCCGCGAGCAAAGTGGAAAAGCAACCCGCGATAGAAAAGAGGCTAGACGATCCGACAATAGAAGAAAGCCTTATCGAGCGTCCTCGAAAGGTTATTCGTGTCGATGTCCGCGATACGAAGCTCGTCGATACAATCGTTCCCGGAAGAATTTCATGGAACCACAGGGACGGACAGGGTGGCAAAAGTAAAGGGGGCAAAGAAACAGCGAGGGTGAAGGAAGGAAGAGAGAGAAAGGAAGAAAGGAGAGACTCAGAAGCATTAACGCAGCGAGGCAGCCGGCCAAAAGAAAACCATTAACTACTTCTACAGGATGGAAGAAAAACAGAGTGGTGAGGGTACGAGAAAAAGGGACGAAGAAAGCCACGCTCCCTTTCGACGTGTATCCCTTTTTCAGGCTGCCGTTTCCATTACCAGAGACCGATAGTCCTCGCTCGCCATTCGCAGTGACGTTTGCCATTTGGAATCCCGTTCTATTCCCGTTTGTCGGTCAATCGGAAGTCGGCCGTATTCAATGGAGACCCCCGATGCACAAGGGCTCCTCGTCTTTCTAAAGCTTCAGATATGGGACGAGCTAGCGCTAGCAAAACTTGCCTTTCATCCGTAATTTGTCATCGACAAAAATATCCTAATTTGAAATTACCTTAGCATATTAACCCGTGATAAAAATATTTCTACGATTTAAAAAGATAAAACGAAATACAGAAGGGAAGATGATTGTAAATCACAAGTGAGCGGGTTATTGAAACGCTATCAAAGACTTATGAACCTTCTTGCCGCGAGTCGCACTTATCTAAAGGGGAAAGTCGAGGGTTGCATTCACTTAGGATCGTCGTAAAATCCATTCTTAAGGCTAAGGCGAACTAAGCCTCGGAGTTACCGCCTAATCTTAGCGACGGTGCCACCTCTTTGCGGAATACCAGAGTACCCATAATCGAAAGCTTTCGCGGACGGTTTTCAAAGTTACTCCAACGAGGCTTCCTGTTCGAACCAGATCCAACAGACGTTCTACAGGAAACCCCTTAATTTCCTCGTTTCGCTAATATTAACGTTCCCGTTATATTAAATACCGCGAAATCTTAATCTCTTTCACAGCAGAATATTATTTAAAAACAGTGTCTAAAGTACAATTTTGCAATATTTCACCCCTTTTCTTCAGCTTAATTTCCTTCCTTTATGCTCCTTAATTTCCGCGTTTCGTTAACGCGAATTTATTTCAGAAATATTACCTCGTTGCGCCATAAAATCCATTCTCAAAGCTCTTTTATATAAAGCTACTTTAATTTAACATCTCGCGAGTGTAGAACGCTGTTCACAATTCCCGTCTGAAAAAGAAATTTTACAAGGTTTTTCGAGCAAAGGTATTCCAGACTCCTGGAATACGGAAGATTCAACCGCGAACTAAACCGCACGTTTTTCAAACACTCGTGCGAGTCGTCGAAAGCCACCAACAACGAGCCCTACACCTTTTTCTACTCGCGAGAACTTTGCAAGAGAGTATATCTCCGCAGACAGTGTGGGGCTCGGGCACGGCGAAAATCGCGGTAAAAGTTAGGAAATCCAGCGCACGGATCGAATCCTTTTCGGTCAAAGGGTTCGTAGGTTTTTCGTGGTCCAGGAGAGTCAGGTAGGGCGGAGTAACCGGCCGCAAAAAAGGTAACCAGATGAAAGGAGAGTGCGAAAGACGGGTCGAGACACGAACGAGGTGGAATACATAAATAGAAATCTCGGTTCGTCTCTCTTCGTCTGATCGTCTGCTTCCAACTACTCATTTTCTGCCCTCTTCTCTACCTCCGTCTTTCTCTTTTTAAAGCTTCCATCTATCTCGTTCTCTCGTGATAACATACAGGGTGAATCGCCTTAAAATTGGGCAGTCAAATATTTTAAAATTTCTACATATTAAGAAAAGTTCATAAAGTGCTTCATAAAATTCTTATACCGGTGTCTGATATTTTTTTTTATTGATTTTATTATCGGGCGAGAATATCAGACGACCCACCCTGTATAAGTATACGAAGAGTGGCGGTAGTCTAGACAGAGTGTCGATTTTTGCCGCGGCACCAAATTAGAAACCCTTCCCTGGTTGGATCCATCGCGCGGTTCCGACTCTCTCCTCTTTCGCTCCAACCCTCCTCACCGGTCTATCCCTCGCCGTTTTTATTTTCTCTCGTTTATCCCGGTGTTCGTCGCTCCGCGCTCTTTCTCTTTTCTCATACGTGTTTCTCTCCTTCTCTCCTGTCTCTGGAACGCACGTATGTGAGATCGCTTAAAGGGGATGAACAGACGAGGTCGTGCGCCAACTCCACCTCCCTCTCCATGCAAATATTTTCACTCGACCTTCTATCTTCCTGTTACCCTTGCCCCTTTCAATGGACACATTTCGGCCAACGAAAGAACCACCGACACCCGACTGTTACGAAAATCTCTTTCTTGGGACACTTTCGCTCGTTACTTGTATTTTCACTTAATTACTTATCGATAATCAATTCTGAGCTTGGAAAATCATAGCAGACTCAGTTGCATACGTATCTTTTTTAATGCAGCCTGTATAATTAGAAAGTTGGCTCTCTTTCGTACTGTTCATGTCTTTGATGTCGTTAAATGAACGAGAAAATTAGCTCGCGGGTTAGTTCCCGGTTAAATTCAAGCTTCTGCAAGCGGCAAATAACCGCGTGCTCGTCCTATATTCATCCTACTGCACCCCCTGCCATCTCTGGCTATCGGCCCTCCCCCCTCCCCTCGTATATACATACATTTATGTAAACACACGGTCTGTAGGCGAACGCGTGCAACGGCAGTCTCGGTTAAGACCGCATAAAAGGGCTATAAAGGTCGGTTGTAAAGGGAAAAACTTGGACTTAATCCGGTGGCGCGAGCGCGCAAATTGTGTTCCGGGCTGCTCTTCGCTTTCATTACCTTTAACTCCATCGTCCTGTTTCAAGCTTCCACCTGAGAGGGCAATTACATCCCACCCGTTCCCTACCTCTACGGCCCATTTCGACGGACGATCTCTCAATTCTTTCGATTTGCTACGCCGCTCTCGCGAGTTAAAAGTTTCCTGCTGTCGAAATCTCGGCTTGAATTTCGCTGCGGAGAAGTTTGTTGGCCGGTTAGGAAACGGCCGATCGTAGCCGAGAAATAACTTGATTCAATTTTCGCGATAAGTTGAGAAAGAGGTAGGGATCAATGGGATACTTTCGGTGGCGATTAAACCTTGTTCAACGAAGCCGAAGCAATTTACTGTTTGAAAAAAGATTTCCTTCGAAAACTACGATTATTTTTGCATCAACTTGTCTCTAAGAGAACGTGTTAGTCTTTGAGTAAATGAAAAAGGCACCATTGTTAGAGGATAAAAGTCGAAGGATCCACCCTTAAAATCGTATCCGTCTGATTTACGATCAAGCTTCCGTTCTTCTTCGGTCCGTTAACCTTTCTTAGGTATAGCTGGACTCGTTGGATTTCCGAGTAATACAAGACCATTGGGAACTCTCCTTGACAAATGGAGGAAAGGAGACAAAGGGTCATCGTAGCCAGCCGAATCGTTTCCAATTTAAGAAGGCTATCCTCGAAAAAGAACTCACGTTTTGCTTGCCGATCGAACGTGCCACGGTTCGATCTTGAATTTCTATTCGAAACGACAAGCACTACTTCTTCCCTCGATCCACTGAATTCGAATGTATCGACGACCTACTTGCCGACACACCTCCTCTACTTTCTCGTTAATCGTTCACGTTCGCGAGGATCATTTCGTGAAACACTGTAGAGCCCTCCAGGTAAATTACTCGTCGATCGGGGCTCGATTTTACGACGGATCTTTTGACGACGGCTGTTTACTCGACGACGCTTTTCAAAGCTCGACGATCGAGCTGACAAGATTTCGACAACGGGGTTAACAGGGCTTTCCGTCGGTTCTTTTGCATCGGAATTGCGATCTCTTTTTTGTTCGAACGGAAGAGCGAATATTTCAAGAGTCTTTGATTTCTAAACGTTTTCAGTTCGAGATTATTAATGGATATCGAATATAATCGAAGTTGTAAGAAATTTGATAGCCTGGAAAAGTGGAAATTGATCTGCTCGGTTTAAGCGTAGCACGAAACTCGCGGATTCTATAACGTTACGACTTCGACGCCTGATTCAGGAAATTTCTGACATAAAGCAAGGAAGAAACGGAAGGAAACGGTTGGCCGAAGTTACAGCCCGCATCGATCGTCATCGATATTTGAGTTACGTTGGAATTTCGTTCGCTGGTAATCCGCAACGTTCGAAAAGTTATTAAATTTCCCAGCGTCTCATCGAAGGTGGGGCAAGTTCGTGAACGTTGGCTAGAAGTTTCGGCCTCTTCATACGGAAAAACGAGTTTTCCCGGACAGAAGTCCAGAAATTTCACTCGCTACCATCTATATCCACGGAAGCTTACTTCACGGACGCAGGCAAAACTTGCTGTTTGCACGAACTTTGCGGAATCTTATCCCGGGACTCGACGAAGCTATGCCAGCTCAACTATCCCCGAGAGCTGTGTACCCATTGAAAAGATAATAAACGAGCTAATCCGCTTTTCAACGCGTTTCTACTCAATCCATATTAGATTATCACGGCGTTCAGATTAATTGTTTCATTTTTATACAACGCAATTATCGATCAATTACCAAATAATAATTGTGACCAAAACTACTTTGAAAATTAATAAAGACTTACCCTTTTGTAGACGGAGGTCGAAAGTGGTGATATCGTCCGCGAAGCCTGAGGACAGCGGAAGATACGAATGCGTGGCTGAGAGTACTTCCGGACATCGGGCCTCGCTCGCGGCCCAGCTTCTAGTCGCTCACGATACCAGAATTCCGGAAATGAGTAAGTACCTTCCTCCTCGACTGTTTCGCTATAAAACAGTTTAAAAACAGACAGCGTTAACAATACTCTGAAAATTTTTCCACGAGCTTCGTCAGCTGCGTTATTTCTACCGTTGCACGTCGTAGCAGTGAAAATAAAATAGGGATTTGTCCCGGAGGACAATAGAGTGATCGAAATGTCGCAGGTGGTCGATGGGGTGGTATCGCAAAGTCGCGGGCCGCGATGCGTGTAACTCGCGCCGCTATTTTTTCACCGATTCAATAGCGATTCCATCGCCTCTGTACGCACGACCGGCGTTATGACAACAACCAGGAAAAAAACTCGAACGTGCGGGTCGAGACTGCGATGTATCGGCAGCTGTTCGTCGATCGATCGATCCCTGGAAATACAGTCGGTACTTCTTTTTATTTTTCCTGCCTCCCTATTCTTTTTTTTTTTTCTATTTCTCTTTATAATTTCCATTTAAAGTATCAAAGGTTTATCAAAATAATTCACGGTTGTGGTCACGGGTAAAATTGTAACCACGAAACGCAGAGACGTTTAAAACGGTCCGCGTATCGATCGGTAGCTGTTAGATTTCCAGCAGAAAACCGAGCGGAACGTTAGTTTATGGCTTTTCATAATACCTGCAACATTTGGTAGACGCTTTTCCCCGGTGTATTTATGCCAGCTGAGAAGTGCACCGAGGGAAAACAGTTAGAAGGGAAAAACGCGATGCTCGCGTTTCCAGAAACTCGTTCTTCGTAACCAGTACGAACGCCGAACGCGTAACTCAGCTTACGATGTGCTGCAATTTCCACGGCGATACCAGACCAATTCGAGTTGGAAAATTTCGCTACATTTCTCTCGGTCCCGAAAAAAAAAAACCTCCAAACATACTGCGGAACGTTTTTGCAACGATCAGACGGTAATCGCAAAAAGCCTTCGGACGAGGAAATTCTCGAAAGTGAAACAAAAAAAAAGAAAGGAGGGGGTTTATATTTCAGGGGTAATAAATTTCCTGACGCAACGAGGGCGTTTAACTTAATAGCGGTAAAAAATGTAAGTGGCAGGAATTAAGTTGATAGAGATTATGATGATGAAGGAAATAAAAGAAGAGTTTATGGCAGGAGATCTGCTAGTCGCAGGTGATAAAGCAAGGATTAAGCACCTGATGCGATAATACCAGCACAGTCCGGCGGGTTCCAGCTAGGTACGAGGAGAAAGCTTGCGGTTTACCACCACCGTGGGGTTGCGAGCCTCGTATGACGGACAAAGGGCGACAATTACAACCCTGCCAGCCACGTCAGGGTTTCATATAGCAGCGAACTGCTGATGGCGGGGTCAGCTGCCCGTTTTGCTAGGCGCGCCTACATTCTAACGGCTCGTAAATCCACCGAACGATGGAACACCCTCCGCTGATTCTCGCGGAAATTCCAACGAACGCGATAATAACTCACGATCGGATATGGGCAAGATTGATTTAAGAGAGAAAAGAAAAGAAAAATGAATATTCTATTCGACGAATACCTCTGGACGAATTTATGGAGGATGCTTGAAATTACACTGGCTGGGAAATATAAATATTACCCCCGTTTCCTCGTCGGGGTCAATAGGAAGGTGTTACTCGACTACCCGGAAATCCTAGTTTACAATGTCTGTGTTTTTCATTGCTCTTCGACGGCGGCCTCGGCGATGTAAGTCAGCTTCCTGGGAGGCTAAACGACGCGGAACGGGCGTTATTGTATCAAGTTACACCTCCGCGGGCAGTAAAGCGTGCCATTGCGAGTGTAACGGCAATTGTTAGAACATAGTGGCTCGGCTAGGTAGACGGGAACAAGGGAGGAACATTGGAGTCGTAGTAAAAGTTTGTGGTAAATGTTATTGCAATGTAGCGCGAGGAGTATGCTCTTTCGAGCTATTCTAGGCTTATAAACGTTACCACAATCTGTTACCGCAATCGAGCGTTAACCATGAGACACCCTCCGAGTCACTGTCCCGAGTTACCAAGAAGACTTGATGAAAATAAAGTCCCATTTGGGATTTTGCCTCGCGTGTTAACACGGATTCGCTTCCCAGAGCCATAAAATTTACGCGCTGCTAATGAATATATTCGCCATTAACAAGCATGCAAGGCATAATTACTTTTCTAAAAGCGCCCTATGTTTGCTGCTTAGACGAAAGAAGAAGAAAGAAGAAGAAAATCGTAATTCCTAGTATAAAAAGAATCATCCGGCGATCCGGCCAAGATTCCGTTGGCGGTTTCGTGCTCAAGTTTCTCTGGAAGAAATCCTCGAGCGGTCAAACAGCTGTGGCACGGGGAGGGTAAAGGTAAAGGTGAAGGAGTTGCTTTGTGAGTCGTGTGCGAGTGCACGCGTCAGCGTGCTGGCCAGAAAGCATGAAATTGTAAAAACCGAGACAGCAAGCCAGCAATTTATTTGCTCGCGCGTGCAGCTTCGTGTCGAGGGGCGTCGAGGGGCACCGAGGGGCGTCCCGGGTTATCGACGAGGAAAAGGCGTGCATTCAACGGTCGACAAAAGAGTTGTGTTTCGTTTTCTCGACCTTTTCACGCCTTTCGAGCTTGAAAACAAATCTTGAACGACCACTCGGGATTTACACACCACCGAGTTGAAAGAGAAAAACGACTACCGTTCAAGAAATTTCTCACCAACGCGAGCGTGTTAACACCTTATCTACCAGATGAAATGAATATACAATGAAACAAGAAAAAAAAAAACACGTTTTTCACTTGCTTGCAAATTAGAATTGCTAAATATCAGAAAGTGAGAAACACGAGAACGTTCGCGGATAACCGTGATTCAGAACCAGGCAACGAAACGATACCAAAAAAAAAAAAAAAAAAAAATGGTCCCAGCAGGTCGAGGTAGGGCGAAAACTTAAAAAATGAGACGCGGAAGGAATATTCTTCGCGAGTGTCGCAGGTGAGCCACGATAAGCGAGGAAACGCGTCGCGTAAAGCATTCGTGGGAGAGGGGTTGTGGGAGGAGGATAGCGAATGAACTCTCGAGGGGTGGTTACGCGTAGCTGGTGGCATTGTTTCGTTGGAAGAAGAAACTCTGAAACTGTCGCGCGATTTCGCGTGGCCCGTCGTCGCGACGACGATAAACAACAGGCCCCAGTGGAATGGAGCCGGTAACGCGCTCCGTCTGACTATACACACGCTCGTACTACTTGCCACCGCTGGCGACGCGACAACGTATTGTGCGTGCCCGTCGGAGCGAGCTTTAAGATTGAAAGAACGAAACGAAACGCAGCAGATGAACGGAGGAATTATTTAAAACCACTTCACACTTTCTCGTTATCGATGAGACACTGGAGATGAACAGACGAGTATGAACAATAAATTCGTTTCTTAAAAGTTCCAAGTTTCTCGAGTCCCAAAATTCTCGAGGTCAATAAGTAGTTCAGTTTAATCCTAAAGGGGTTTCGCGGTGTCGCAACAATATTATGCACGCCTGTTGTTCCCGCGAAGTCTGTCGCGGTGCAACAAACGAGTTATGCGAAAGCTGCCTCGACGAGGATGTTCGTCGAGAGAAAGTTCGTCGCGAGAGACGTATAACGCGTCCCGTTGCGACCGTTCGTTTCGACGAGCCCTGAACGACCCTTCGCACGACTAGCCGCAACCTTTCCTCGCGATACAAACTTTGTCAAACTTCCAGGAACAACGGAGTTTCGCGAGTAATAATTGCAGTCGGATCGCTTATGCCATGCCAAACAAAATTCCTCGAGCTTGTTAGCACGCTTCCTCCGCGTCCGTTTAATCGCAACTTGAAAATATCATTCCAACTTTATTTCGTCGTGTTCCCTTATCCCCTGAAGAAACAACAGAAAATCGAGGAACCTCTCTATTTTTCTAGCCCGTAGAACAAACAACTGTATCAAGCTGGGGTATTCTCGAAAGCGAAGACGCTTTTTGTTCGTCTTCGTTTGTATCGCGTTGCTAATTAGCCACGGTTGCAAACCAACCGTTTAATTATCGAGGAAGCTCTCGTTTTTAACGAGCGGCCCGAGAAAAACAAGCGTCGCCGTTGTTCGCTTATTTATCGCCGGCTCGAACAACGCGACAGCAGCTTTGATGCTGAAATTTTTCACCTCGTTTCCCGAGAGCCACGCTTCGTTTTCTACGTAGACGAAAACCTGTCGGCGAAAGCGATATCGTTTATGAATTATTTTCGTTCAGTTCCTAGGCGTTTTCGGAGCAACTGTTATCCTGAAAAGTTCTGTTTCGTATTTTCATTTCGTTGAACCTGCCCGACTGACGTTGCGAGCAAAACAATTCGAAAACTGTATTTAGACTGTACGTTCATGGAAAAACAAGACTGTAGGATTTTTTATTCAAATGCCTTGTTAAATGAAACTATATTTTATACTATCTATAGATCCAGGTGAGGTGTTTTTACGATAGTTGACAGTTTCAGAAAGCAGGTGGGAATGAAAACAAGGCGAAATTGTATTCGGTGATCGAGTCGCGTGTAGGCGTACAGTCACGCGAGCAACTCGTCTGGCAATCCAATCGGGGGATCAAAAGGTTGACTCCGCGAAAGCCGGCTACGATTGTACGTTCGCCTCGTTGGAAAACTCGTTGTCGATCGCGAGGAACGATACGCACAGGCCGTGATGCGAGGGAAAAGAGAGGAAACGGAAGAGGAGGATCGCAGAGCGCGGAACTTTGAGCGACCGGTAAAAGCATTAACTCGTCTCTCGGAACGGAGTACGATCGACGCGTTCTCTTTTCGCTGCTGCGATCACCCAACACGATAACCGACCACGACGGCCACGTCACCGGCTGCAGCATCGGAAGCGTCCGCATCCAAACGTATGGAATTTTATATGAACCTAGAGAACACGCCAGATCGTATTTCGTCTGTCACCGGAAGAACGTACCGTGCGCGATGCAGTTTCGGCAATTCCGTGCCTTTTCGCGCAGATAATAACGGGAGAGGATATGATTTTTCGATTCTGAACCTCTTTGCGATTGTACATTTCATATTAACGTATAG